TCAGCTAAATGAATGTACCATGGCAAAGATGAATCCACTTTTGGAAGTTGAATGTAAGGGAAATGTCATTTTGGAATTTCTGTGGTCTAATGTGATATTGTTGTTCATGTTCTTGTTCATGATGAAATGTAATTTTATTGCTGTAATTAATTTATAGCATTAACAAGATGACCCGTTGAATTCATTTTGGGAGCGATGACTGATTGAATGTATTTTTAGTCCAGTGCCTGTATATAAGATTAGTATTGACCAAGTTCAGAGGCTGTCATATGTGGATCAACTTACGATGTTGTGTATTTTCAACAGTTTCAATATGAAAAATAACTTTTATATTGATTCAATGGATTTATTGCATTTTGGGAAAAAATTATCAGTTTTTATAATAAATCTTTGAAAATCAAAATCTGGATTAGAATTTTTTATGTTATTATAACCTAAAGATGCTATGTGAAAAACAGAAACAGAAAATAGTGGTTTTCATCTTGCCACTTTCTTAAAGAAGACACATTTTTACTCAAATTAATCAAAATGGATTTATAGCGTTTTGGAACCAAACTCTTCATTTCTTCTGTAATATTTGATAATTTTGTTTCCAGGACTGATGGCATACATACTTTGTAATAATACTGTATCCATATTAACATTAGTGTGTGTGTGTGTGTGTGTGTGTGTGTGAGTGTGTGAGTGTGTGTGTGTGTGTGTGTGTTTTTTTTGCAAGAAATGATGTGAACAGAAACAGAAAATAGTGGTTTTCATCTTGCCACTTTCTTAAAGAAGACACATTTTTACTCAAATTAATCAAAATGGATTTATAGCGTTTTGGAACCAAACTCTTCATTTCTTCTGTAATATTTGATAATTTTGTTTCCAGGACTGATGGCATACATACTTTGTAATAATACTGTATCCATATTAACATTAGTGTGTGTGTGTGTGTGTGTGTGTGTGTGAGTGTGTGAGTGTGTGTGTGTGTGTGTGTGTTTTTTTTGCAAGAAATGATGTGTGCCATGGTCATTGTATGTATTTTCCCTCTGGAATGGAAAAATCAAAACCTCCAAAGATGCATAGACAGATGATGGTGTCTGACCTATGAACTCCACGGATCGCTCCAGCCAGGGCAGGATCTTCTCGCAGAAGCTGTCGTTGACAGGCACGCGCAAGAAATGCGAGTCGGGGATGAAGTCTGGTTTGGGGCAGGTGTTGCTGGCGTTGAGCACGTAAGCAATGTCGTTCTGCTGCATGAGCTCCTGCGGGAACACAGACTTCAGCACGAGTTCGTGTGACGCGTGTCAGACGCGCTCGTAACTCGTGTCTGCAGTGAGCGTCACCTGGTTGAGCACGTCTCTCTGGCAGCCCAGGTACAGGTGTGGCAGGATCCGCGTCGGCCCGCTGCTGCTCATAGGGAGACAGGGCTGAGAGATGCAGGACGGCACCAGCGTGGACTTCCCTTCACACAGACCCGGGAACAGCTGCGAGAAGGCCACAAAACCACCTGCAGACCAGGACAGAACACAGACTGGTGTTTTATGAGGCCGCATGAAGATGAAGACCTGCTGAAAGAGATTCGTGTGCAGAGCAAATCATGTCTTTAAGTTTGCATCTAGGTTTGTGTCGGTCTGTCGTCACTATAAATAACTTTAGATGAAAGCGAACACTGCAAAATTAAAAATTACAACTTAGAATTTGAAATTCTGCCTTGGCAACTAAATAAGTTAGAGTTGAAGCGCTAAAATTACTAAAATAAAATAAAAAAAATAAAATGAACAAATGACTAAAACTGAAATGAAATTTAAATAGTCATATTTAAAAATGCTGTAGCACTAAAATTACTAACTGTAAAATAAAAAAATAAAATAAAACTGAAATTAAATTAAACTTAAATAGTCATATTTTCAAAAGCTGAGGCACTAAAATTACTAACTATAAAATAAAAAAATTAAATAAAACTATAACTAAAAAAAAAACTACTAAAACTGAAAAACAAAAATTAATGGAAACCTAAACAGTAATATTTAAAAAGTTGAAGCACTAAAGTTATAAACTGGGATTAAATAGAAACTAAAACAAACTAAAACTGAAATTAAATTAAACTTAAATAGTCATATTTTTTAAAAAAAGCTGAAGCACTAAAATTACTAACTGTAAAAAAATAAATAAAATAAAAATTAAAACTAAAATATAAAACGGAACTAAAACAGTATAAAACTTAAATTAAACTTAGTCATATTTAAAAAAAGCTGAGCCACTAAAATTACTAACCATAAAATAAAATAAAACTACAACTAAAAAATTACAACAATAAAAAACTACTAAAACTGAGAAACTACATTAATGGAAACCTAAATAGTAATATTTAAAAAGTTGAAGCACTAAAATTATAAACTGGGATTAAATAAAAACTAAAACTGAAATTAAATTAAACTTAAATAGTTATATTTTAAAAAGCAAAAGCACTAAACTTATTACTAACTGTAAAATAAATTTAAAAAAATTAAATAAAAACTAAAAAATACAATTAAAACTAAAACAGACTAAAAGTAAAAAACTAAATGAAATGAAGCCTAAAAAAACTAAAAGGTTGAGGCACTAAAATTATTAACTGGGATTAAAGAAAAACTAAATATGAACTAAAACAAACCCTAACTACAACTGAAATACCTATAAAAATGACAAAAGCGCATCACATAATTCACGAAAATGTAAATACAATTAAAATGAAAACAGAAAATATAAGAATAAAAAATCATTCAAAATATTACTAAAAACGTCAAAAATTATGATTATGAATAAACATATGAATAGTGTCTCACAGTGAAGAAGGGCCGAACATTCACGCTAATAGAGCCGTGTTCACTGGAGACTCGCTCTGACTGAATCATTTGAATCAGTGAGTTGTTCACTGGAGACTCGCTCTGACTGAATCATTTGAATCAGTGAGTTGTTCACTGGAGACTCGCTCTGACTGAATCATTTGAATCAGTAAATTGTTGATTCGAGCTGCAATCCGCTCAATCCAATTGAATTCGCGAATGAATCGTTCAGTGCGATTTGCGAAATTATTTAACAGGCTCATTGAAAAGAATCAGCTCGTTCACAAATCGGACACCGCTATCAGTGTGAGCACTAGTGCTGGTTGTCGTGTCTGTCGTGGTGCAGGTGTGTGATGTGAACCTAAGAGCAGGTGGACTGATGGGAAACTCTTCTCCAGCTTGGCCAATAGGACGCTGAGGAAGGCCTCTGATGAGAGGGAGGCGGGGTCAGACGAGCTCTGGTCGTACACCACGACCTCTTGACCCTGGAGCTCCAGCTGAAACACACACACACACATAATGAAATAGTGAGTTCATATCTGCTCCTTATTCCCTGTTTTCTAGTTGTATTTAGAGTAAAATCTCTTAATACCGTAATACTGTCACTCCAGTGTTCTGGTTGTTAAAATGACGTTCTATATTTATAATCATGTTTGTCCAGTTGTGTCAGTGTAGTTTTCTACTTTAGTTAGTAGCTTGCAATGTTGGGGAAAGTTACTTTTAAAAGTAATGCATTACAATATTGTGTTACTCCATTAAAAGTAACTAACTGCGGTACTTAATTACTTTTTATGGAATGTGATACATTGTCACTTTTGTGTTACTTTTTGTCACATGGGCTGGGCTTGTTTTTTTGTTTTTTAATATAAAAAAAAAAAAAAGTTGTATTTTTGGCAACTGTAAGGGCTCTTTCACACCAAAAATGAAAAGAAGTGCCTCTGCACTTACTCCTGATTTCTCTCAACACTGGACAGGAGAGCTGTCAGCCAATAAATGGGAAAACAAAGTAACTTTCAGATATTTCAATATAAATTTAAAAGTAATGAGTTACTTTTGACAGAGACTGAGCGCTAGCACAGATATCTATGGGATGAGGTCACTCGGCAACCTGTTGCTAAGGCGTCTCAATGGCCCTCATGAGAGACGATGGCTTGTTTGTTTCATTTGTTCATTATGAACACACACACACACACACACACTCAGGTCTGCTGCACACTTTAACCCTATAGTCTATAAACCATTATAAGATCTCTAATGATCAAACTTGGCTGTAAATCTGTCGCACACAATCTACTGCATGCCTTCTGTCGTCTGATTGATAGTTTAGACTTTTTTTTATCAAGACAAAGCTCTTTCAGTAGAGGAATGATCTTCCCAAGCCTCCAGAACATCTCACATCTTTTGAGGAGCGTTTATTTGTTCATCTCTCAATCAGCACTGCATGGATTGCATTGCATCTACTGTGTCATTTACAACCACTTGCATCGAGCCGGTCTTTGCTTCTGTACCTCAAACTTTGCACTCCATAAAAAAATTCTTATTGTATATACATACATGTATATATTTATATTTATTTATATACATATTGCTATTTGCACTTCTGGTTAGATGCTTACTGCATTTCATTGGCTCTGTACGTTTACTCTGCACAATGTCAATAAAGTTAAATCTAATTATATGTTTGGATCATTTAAATCTCATCTTTCTAAGACATATTATTGGAGATATAGAGTGACGACTTATATTCATATCATTTATTTCAGTATCTGCTATAAAGATCTCATTGATTTACATTACAAACTCATCATATAAATATCAGCATTTGCAGCAAATTGCATATTTTTGCTCAGTTTGAGTCTCTGAATCAATTTAAGTAGTTTTTTCTCCATATTTTCACTATATCAGACTATATGAGCCATAAAAGCATCAAATATGCAATCTTTTGTTTTAGATCTTTACATCGGATTCACACTAAATCGGATGTTTAGCAGGATAATGACTCTGCTGTTTTACATGCAATGAGCGAATCAGTCCCAAAACACTGTTTTGTTTTATTTTGAGCATCAAACAGCATCCAGTGTGACTGTAAAAGAGCAGCGTGAACATCCCGCTAAACATCTGCTTGGGTGTGAGTCAGATGACACGCCTGCATTACTCCTGTAGTTTCACGCACCTTCCTCTTGGCCGAGTGCTGCAGGAGTTCACTGATCTGGATCTTGTCCTGCTGTAATCTCCTCTTCATCAGTTTGGAGCAGTTGACGTTCACGGCCTCCAGAATGTGACACGCGTTATACTCCACGAACGGACGGCAGTCGATCAGCAGCACGCGGTCCAGGCCGCCCTCCAGCAGAGCCACCAGACCCTCGGCCCCGATGGGCCGCGCCGCGCGCTCACACATACCCACAATCCCTCAGTCCGTCTCTGCGCTAACAGTCTCTGTGTCTCAGTGCTGCTGCCGGCGGGCCCTCAGGAGATCAACGGCCCCATTGTAGCAGCTGATGATGTCACTCTGGTTGCGTTCGGCAGGCGGCCCAAAAGCGTATGAGAAAAAGCAAGAGGAAACTCCGGAGTAAAAACGCACTTACACGCAGCCTGTGTGTATGTGTGTGTATGTGTGTGTGTGTGTGTGTGTGTTTGGGGCGCAGTGGCTGATGGGAGTTTCTTTCACACCATCACAGGGGCTCCACAGACAGGCGGCAGCGGCGTGACCTCATGCACCTCCGTACCGCTGCACTCCATCATGAAGATCTCCTGCGGAGACACAAAAACACACCGTGAACTAGGGCTTAGGCTTGCTGCAATAGATGGTGTTTTCGGTTATACCGGTGTTAAGCCGCAACACCGGTTATGTCATTTGCCTACCGCGGCACCGCCCCCCACCGTCGTTTTGATTTTTTTATAGTAACAAAAATCATTTAGCCTAGGTCAGTGAGGACAGACACTTTTAAAAACTAAACGCTCAATGCAGCATGCCGAACCGTGCGCGAACGACAGTGCACCACGGAGCAGGAGTCAGATTTTATTTATCACGTGAGGAGAGTGAGTCGAGGGTGTATTTTTATTCGTTTTGTTAATAAAAGTTCTATGAGTTTGACGTTGTTGTTGCTTGAATTGAATCAATGCCCAATTGCTTTTAATTTGAAAGTGAAAGTAAAATGTGCACGGCGCTTTTTCAAGCTATTTGAAAACCAAGAAATCCGAGGAAAAGAGGAAAAACTCAAACAAACAATTGCTTGATGCCGGATTGCGGCAATTCAATTGCCACTAATTTGAAAGTGAAAGTAAAATGCCTCCAGTGTTGGGGAAAGTTACTTTTAAAAGTAATGCATTACAATATTGCGTTACTCCATAAAAAGTAACTAATTGCTCTACTTAGTTACTTTTTATGGAACGTTATGCATTACGTCACTTTGGCGTTACTTTTTGTCACCTGTGCTGGGCTTGTTTATTTGTTTTTAATAACAAAACAAAAAAACTAAAGTTGTATTTTTGGCAACTGTAAGGGCTCTTTCACACCAAAAGTGAAATTAATAATCCTCAGGCTGAAGGACGTGCCTCTGCACTCACTCCTGATTTCTCTCAACACGGGGACAGGAGAGCTGTCAGTCAATATATGTGACCCTGGAGCACAAAAGCAGTCTGAAGTCGCTGGGGTATAGTTTTGTGCTCCAGGGTCACAAATGAGAAAACAAAGTACTGATTTGAAGAAGTAACTCCTGTAAAGTTAAAAGTAATGCATTACTTTACTAGTTACTGATCTGATTACATAACTCATGTTACTTGTAATGCGTTACCCCCAACACTGCTCACGTCACACTGCATCTATAACACACGCAAACTCTCAAATGTTTTTTTATGCAGTGTTTTACGTCTAAATTGGGCATTTAACAAATCCAAGAGTAATATGCATATGTGAGAGTTTGTGCGTTACAGTGATTTCACCACGAAAACGGCTCATTCAAACAGAATGTGCCATTTCATAGTGTATATTTTGGTGACAGCAGCTTTGAGTTCACATGTCTGTTGGTGTGTGAGTGCTAAAAACAAGAAAGGTCTGCTTTAATCATGTCATCTCTTTAATGTGTACAGGACTGCACAGAAACCAGTGAAATTCCCCTGTGTGCCGTAAAAACCTGCCAGTCAGTCCTGTATGACGGGAAAATCCCAACAACAACAACAGCGATGAAATATCTGAGTTACTTGTTTAAATAATGTTTTCCCATTTATTCACTAACAGCTCTCCAATTCGAGAAATCGGGAGATGAGGCCTTTATTATCATCACTTTTGGTGTGCTTACAGTTGTCAAAAATATAACTTTTGGGTTTTTCTTATTAAAAACAAATAAACAAGCCCAGCCCCGGTGACAAAAAGTAACACAAAAACAACATAACACATTGCGTTCCATAAAAATTAACTAACGCAATTAGTTACTTTTTTTGTGGAGTAATGCAATATTGTAATGCATTACTTTTCAAATGTAAACGGAGTCAATCGTGACATCGTTTGCGAAGGTCGAGCTGAATTAAAACTGTTTGCTCTGTGTTTTTTTGACTGAAGGTTAATAGCTCAACCTGAGATAAAAGCCATGGAGGACTTTGACCCATCGAACGGCCACAAACAGATCAAACGAGGCTGAAATCAGACCACAGACGCTTTAAAGGCCTGAGACGCTGTAAATGAAACACACAAACTGAGATTTTCAGTCTCTGAGGTGAATATCAGCCCAAAGTCATGCTGAAACCTCTAAAATGATGTTAAACACAGCTGTTCTAAAATCAAATTTAAGATTAATTAAGATACTGTATGTTGTGTAATCAATATACCAATAATAGCCAGAGGGAAAAAAAAGATTTTGTGCATAATGAGGGACTTTTAATCATAAAATATTTTGAAACGTCTATGCTTTACTACTTCCAGCTGCTCATTCAAACAGATGATAGAAATAACTAGCTGAGTAAAGTTTGTGAACAAACGTTGAGGTTGGCCTGAGAAAGCCTAGTCTGAAAGTTTGAAGCAGTTGTAAAAGCTTGATAGATAGATAGATAGATAGATAGATGTTGCTAGCACAATGCTAGCATGATTTAGCATGTTGTTGGCATGTTGCTAGCATGTTTTAACACTACTAGCATGTTGCTACCATGATTAGCATGATGTTAGCATGTTGCTAACATGTTTCCAGCATGTTGTTAGCATGATTACCCTGTTGTTAGCACGTTTTTAGCATGATTAACATGTTGTTAGCCTGTTTCTAGCATGATTACTGTGTTGTTAGCATGTTTCTAACATGAGTAAAGTGTTGCTAGCATGATAAGTGTGTTGCTAGCATGTTTCTAGCATGATTACCGTGTTGGTAGCATGTTTCTAATGTGATTAACATGTTGTTAGCATGTTTAACATTTTGCTAATGTGTTGCTAGCATTTTGCTAGCATGTTTTATCATGCTGCTAACATGATATTGCACATTGCTATCACGTTTTAGAATGTTGCTAGCATGATTAGCACATTGCTAGCATGAATTAGCATGTAGCCATTAGTCATTAAGCTTTGCTAGTGATAGACAGCTTAAACACTCTACAAGTCTTACTGTACAAAAGTTTTGCCCCCCTCAATGAACATCTATGGGACTTTTCGTAGTTTTGATCGTCTGTTTCATGAAAATCGTAAGTCCGATCAGTTAGAAAATAATAATAAGAATAAGCTTTCATAGTAGTTTATAGTAGTAGTTGGCTTTCTAAATATGCATCTTACAACCATCTACAACAAATTTACCATAACGATCCTTCGGCATTCACTGATTGCGAAGAATTAAGACTTTTGTTAAACTATTTAAGAACAAAACCAAATGGCTATGTTAACACTGTGAGCCTTAGTGCTCAATTCTGATTTGTGCTCAGATCCGATTTTTTTGTATAGCTGTTCACATTGTTGTTTTAAATGTAGCCAATATCAGATTTCCAGTGTGAATAGATCATGGTTCTGAACTGACCTGCATGCGCAAAAAAACCCCGATACCAACAGGATTGCCAGGTTTTCACAAAAAACTCCACCCAATTATTTTTCTAAACTAGTCCGAAACTAGCCCAGTCGCATTCCAGGGGGGTCATATATCGCGTTATTATGGTCACTTTAATTTTAATTAAATTTTAATTCACTTTAACCCACGGAGTTGAAAAACAACACGCGGCAACAGTGAAAAAATAGCCCAATTCCGCGGGAAAATTGTAGACTTGGCAACCCTTACGCGCGCTGTCCTATGGAAGTAAAAACGGAGGATATAAAGTTAGTAATTATGCATTTATTTTTAGTGTGATCTGCTGCAGAAGCCAGCGAAATTATGTGCACGCAATATGAAAAATAAAGACGAGGATGTGACAGAAGAGAGCAGAGTTTTGAAACTTTTATGACCATGAGTCCTCATGTTTTGCTTGTATAGTTATATATTAGGGCTGCACGATAAATCGCATGCGATATTTAACGCGCATCTTATCAGTAAAGCCGGTTCTGTAATCAGCGGTAAATCTCCATCACGTGCGTGCTTTCACATTGAGCAGCATTAACTACACGGAGCCGTTGTTTACTGAGTTATAGAGTTGTCACTGTAATACTTGTGAGCTCTGACACGTCACTGTACTTCCACTGACTACCTTTCGCAACGGTCTCGATAACTTTGGGTATGTAAAATCTTTGAAGCGACTCCCTTGAGCACAGAATCGTGACAAGTGTTGATCTAGAGCGACGTAAAAGTTCAGACTGCGGTTGCATTGCGAAACATCAGGACCTGTATCGGATTTAGTACCACATATACAGTGGCACAAATCGGAATTGAAAAGATCAGATTCCATGCGGTTTGTGCGGTTCACACTGTCGTGAGAAAAACAGATCCGAGTCACATGTGAGCTAAAAAAATCGGATTTGGGCCACATTTGCCTGCAGTGTGAACGTAGACTTTTTAAAGACCTGTGGAATCCCTGTTTTCAATAAATATTAATTACCGTATTGGCCCGAATATAAGACGACCGCGTTTTTTCAGATGTATTTCCAAGAAAAAAACATCGTCTTATATTCGGGTCAATACGGTAATTATCAGTCACGTTGATCAGATTGATTGTTGTTGTCCTGCACTAGTAGATCAAGCAGGGAACTAAAGATCATAGTTGTAGCCGGTTGCATAAACAAGCCTTTACTAGTTTGACCAACCAAGTGCTAATCAGCCTTAATTTTCGAATTCAAATCTACCTTTTTGTAACTGACCAGTCTTGAACAAGAAAAAAAATGAGATGACTAACTTTTTTTTTTAGACTAGTCTAAGCTGTTTATGCAGCCGGCCTTTGGTCTCTATTGGTCGGTTACTAGATCACCGCTGGACTGAACGACACAACTAGCTCCTTTGAGGAATGATCCTGATCAAACCGGCTTCTTCTTTCTTCTTCAAGTAAGACATTTGTGGAAATGAAACGTTGACGTGAGTGCATTCGGCTTTACGAGGGGAAATTCTTGATTCGAGTTCCTCATCGGCAGATTAACCCATCTTTGGCTTTATTTGTACTCTTTTTGTTTTGACGTGAACAAACATCTGAAGAGCCGTTCTGGTGGGAAATGCTGTCTTTAAGGGACCCAGGCATAGACTTCTGTCCTCTGTAGAGGACATTATGTACAGAGCACATTCAGGGCTTTTTAGAGATATCAGATGTTTGGAGGTTTGATCATAAACACACTTTCTCCTTGGTCTTTAAACATAGCTAATATTGACCGAATGAGCACTCTTAGGGAAATATGATAAGGTTTTGTAATTATCATTTAAATCTGGCTAATTTTCAGATTGTTTGTCGTAAATAAACATCTTAGACAAATGTTATGGAGTTTCAAGGGCATAATTTTCATAAGTGTCTGGACACCAGGACAAACGGCATGTTAATCAGGCATTTTGGGGAACAAGAAGAAATTATAGATCAATATTCCAGATATTCTTATGAAAAAGTTATTACTCCCGTTATTACACTTCTTTTTTCATTATGAACACATTAATATGCAAATTAGATGCAATCTATAGATACATTGTATAGAATGCGAATACCAATTTATGAACATTTTACGCACATATTCCATAAAGTCAAATAGCATATCAAATCATTCGGTTATAGCTTTCATAACATAGTTGAGAATCATCTTTATACAAAGTTTGGCTAAAAATAGCCTGAAACCTAAAAACTGATTGCTGAATGAAAAAATAAAGCATTGTTTTTGCGTATACATGACTTTTCATGCCTAATTTTTTTTTTTAATAACTTAGTCCTGGCGTCCTCTACAAAGAATAAAATATGAATAAAATATCTATTTAAAAAAAAACAATTCTCCATTTGTTTCTTATATTTTAACCGATGTAATGACAAAAAACAACAAAATTAACATAATTTTTTAGTACCACGGTATTACCATGTTTTGTTTTGTTTTCCAGACAGATATGATTGTAATACCGTGGTTATTTTGAGTGTTATTTTTAGTATCATTGAGATGATATTATAGCTTTTGTTAGTATTTTGATTTTATTTTTATACTTTCTGATTTCATGTTAAGTTTGAGTAAATTTGTTCTGCGTTTCGGTCATTTTTATTTATTTTTGTTGTTTTTAAATAGGTTTTGTTTCAGTTATTTTACGGAAACGAGGAATGTTGCCATGGCAACTCGTTGAAATAAAATAAGCTTAAGTTTTTCCATATTTTATTTTACTTCAATTAACATTTATTTTATTCAAAGTAACAACAAAAAAATATTTTTATGCTTTTAATTTTAGCTAACTATAACACCCCTGATTTAAACAGATTATTAATTTAGCACACATTTGACTGATCGCGATATTACGGTAACGTTATCTAAGTGAGAACAGAATGGTAATACTATGGTATTCTCTTAAATACAGTGTAAATGGTACAGAAATCATTCAGTATCATGGTATCACCACACTATTTTACTGTAAAGTTACACATGGACATTTCAACAGGACACGAGTGTGTTTTCTGTGTTTTTACAGATGTCAGTCATAGCATTTAATGACAGCAAAGTAAATATGAAACAAAAACTACAGCGAACGGAACTTTCCAGAACGTTAAACTCATTTTTACCAAGTTTACTAAGTAAACGAAACTAACAAGAACATCGTGTCTCCACACACACACACACACACACACACACACACACTGCGGCCCTTTATGATCTATTTCTCATTTAACACATGCCTTAAACTCACCATGAAAGTTTCAGTCCGTCTCATTTTACAGTAAATCCACAGATAAAGATGACCAGATGCGTAGAAACCTGGTAGAGTTGCGCGGATGGGTAGTTAGGCTAGTTAAAGCTGGTCAGTTCGCCGCTGGTGAAGTTAGAGTGAGTTCATGAGCTCATCGGGTAAAAATAACATCATGGCGTCATTGAAACTCACGCACACCGGCCTCAAACTCACGCTAAAAACCGGAGAATAAAGATCCGCTAATGAGCAGAAAGCCGCTCTTCTATGGAGTCAATATAATGCCACATATATATGCAAAATAATAAAGTTTTGCAAAAGAAAATAAAGTTTTGCAAAAGAAAATAAAGTTTTGCAAACGAAAATAAAGACTCTTGAGCGTGTAAATGAGTGTAAAACTGTAAATGAGTTTATGAGGCGGAGCTTCAGTCGCGATCCGGCTCTTATGGTGCGTTCAAGTCATGTCGGACAGATCGTATTTACGAGTTGAACGCACATGAACGCCACCACAAAGTCGTTATTATTACGAGAAACTCGACATTTTCTTTAAAGGGGTCATATGATGCGATTTCATTTTTTCCTTTCTCTTGGAGTTGGGGGCGTGTCAGTGAGAAACATGGCAGAATCGATGACAGTGTTGCACAGTGTTGGGGAAAGTTACTTTTAAAATTAATGCATTACAATGTTGCATTACTCCATTAAAAAAGTAACTAATTACGTTACTTAGTTACTTTTTATGGAAAGTAGTGCGTTGGGTTACTTTTGCGTTACTTTTAAAATCTGGACAGGGCTTGCTTGTTTGCTTTTTAAAATAAAAAAGTTATATTTTTGGCAAATATAAAAGCCTTTTCACACCAAAAGTGAAATGAATAAGCCTCAGGCTGAAGGGAAAGTATTTCTTGTAATTTATTAAAAGAAGGTACACCGCCATCTTGTGCCGACTAAACTGACTTGAACGCACCTGACGTCGTAATTACGACTTGTCAACTCTTAAGTACGAACGTCCCAGGTGGACTTGAACGCAGCATTATTACACAATCAAACCGCAGAATTTCATTAATTTCACTCATACACGCTTTATTACTGCTGGACAACTCCAGATTAACCATAAAATCATTATCCCAGATAGCACAGGTATGTCTGCTAGAGGTCTGTTAAAGATCGCTTCATCTGGAAAGCATCTGCTGTGTACAAACATCTGACAGACGTCTTTAAGATGTCAGTTTTACATGCATTCTAATTCATAAAGACATCTTCTAAACATCTATTTGACATCTGATAGGAAACGTCCTATAGACGTATTGCAGATGAGCAAACGCTCTAAAAAAATACGTCTTGCAGATGTAAATGCGACGTCAGATAGACGTCTCCGTGATGTACGTGTGCTTTTTTTATTTAAAAATCAACTATCCTCATACAAGGATGTCATGTAGTTACATATCAGCCCTGATATAGCACACGTACATCACGGAGACGTCTATCTGACGTCGCATTTACATCTGCAAGACGTATTTTTTTAGAGCGTTTGCTCATCTGCAATACGTCCATAGGGCGTTTCCTTTCAGATGTCAAATAGACGTCTATTAGATGTCTTTAAGATGTTTATGATTTAGAATGCATCTTAAAGACGTCTGTCAGAAGTTTGTACACAGCAGATGCTTTCCAGATGAAGCGATCTTTAACAGACATCTTGCAGACGTACCTGTGCTATCCTAGGCAGGGAACTGTCTCTTTTAGGTGATTAATACTGACATCAGACAAATTCCTGATGTCCTCTTTAGGGCCAGTGTCCCCTGATGGGCCCCTGTGTGTGTGTGTGTGCGCAGTATTCCTATGAGGTCCTCACAAACAGAGCTGGGTCCTTGATATCACACTTACATCACGGAGAACCCCAGTTTGGGAAACCTTGACGTAATGTAACGTTTAATGCACTTCGTGTTGTTAATTACAATGAATGGAATAGTTTTTCTTACTCGTTATATCAATATCCTATTTAAATTGATGTGAAAAACAAGTTAGGTCAAAAGTAATCTAAAAGTAGTCTGATTACCTAAAATGTGTAATGATTGCGTTACTAACTACAATTTTTGTCATGTAATTTGGAATCAGTAACGGACTACAATTTGCTCTCGGGTTATGTTTAGACACAACATGAAAGACTGATCTAACGCACATCTAATGTTGCTTTCAGTGAGTTATTATATTGGTGTTGTGAACATACAGTATATATATAAATATGTGATGAGTGTGTGTGTGTGTACTCTGATGATCTTTCTAGAATGCCTAATTTTGGCCATCGGGAGGAAACTACAGGTCCCAGCATGCAGCGCGGTGGGCGTCACCCGCGCCAGAACCGGAAGAGCTCTGTTAGCATTCGGCTAAAAACACAGGCAGCTCCACTGGAAGATTGATCAAAAATCATCTCAATCGGACTCTCTAATCGATTACAGGTGAATGATCGAGGATCAGCACGCGACTGCAGACTCGCGTCGATTGGAAAACACGCGATGGATGACAGTAAAGTGCGTCATATTAACATTTATGAACATCCCTTTGGCTTATAGACAGTGCAGCTCATGATCAGCTGCATTCAAGGGATTTCAGTTCATCAGCATCTAAAGCAGCTATTGTAATACAATGATTAATGGATATGTGCCATGATATTCAGTGAAATACCTCGGGGTAGCATATTAATATCACTGAATCGTGGTATACATGAAAATACCACGGTAATCATCATTTTACCACGGTACCACCAAAGTACTTATGCGATTTTTATTAAACATTTATTTATGTACGATACAGATCCTTTCAAAGCAGCTTCGCAGTAATAAACGGGAAAATAACAGGTAATGAATCAGTAAAATGAATCGGTTATAATACAAATTCAATTTCATTTAATCAATAATGTCATTATTCAGATCAATTCCGCTCAGCTTTGTTTGAATTTAGTTCAATAAACAGGAATTTTATATTGTAAAATTCATAAATTATGAAACTAATTCATGTTTAGTTTAGAAAGCAGCTCTACAGAGTCATTCAGCTCAATTTCAGATCAATACAAGTGTCAATATTGTAAAATTCATTATTTATTAAGCATAATTTCGATTCTTTTTAATACGCAGTTGTACAGAAGACCACCTGTAATTTTGTCTTCTGTTTTTGATTGTTTACAGCAATTGTTTATTTATGTTGTATGATCATCACATCCCTGACAGCACACGTACATCTCGGAGACATCTATTTTACATCTGCAAGACGTATTTTTTTAGAGCGTTTGCTCATCTGCAATTCGTCTATAGGACGTTTCCTATCATCAGATGTCAAATAGACGTTTAGAAGATGTCTTTATGATTTAGAATGCATTAGTGTTGGGTGGTATACCGGTTCATACCAAATACTGGTGTTTATTTTTGTTATGATATGAATTTTTAAAATACCGCAATACTGTGTATGTCGCTTAAACAACGTTCGGAACGCGACACTGTTTGAAAGGGGTCCCTTTTCACTGTTGCACTGTGGTGAGGGAACAGCTGTATGTGTTACTAAGCATGTAAAACTGACATCCTAGAGACGTCTGTCAGACGTTTGTCATGTTTCCAGACATCTTGCAGACGTACCTGTGCTATCTGGGATGAGCGTTTCACCGTAAAGTCTCTTCTGATCTGTAGATGGTTGCTGGAAAAGTGAAGAAACCCGGCAAACGCGGCCGCAAACCTGCCAAGATTGACCTGAAGGCCAAGCTGGAGCGAAGCCGGCAGAGCGCCAGAGAGTGTCGCGCCAGAAAGAAGCTGCGTTACCAGTATCTGGAGGAGCTGGTGTCCAGTAAGGAGAGAGCCATCTGCGCTCTGCGCGAGGAGCTGGACATGGTAAACACTAGGGTTGGGTACCGACCGAATTGCGTCGGTACTACCGAGTATCGATACACGTTAAATCAATCGGTGCCAAATTTCGGTACCTGAGAACGCATCTGGGCGCATACGCTACAGAGAGAGAAAGAGAGACTCGTTCAAACAACACACAGGGCAAGCCGAAATGTTCTGAAGTGTGGTTACATTTCTAGGGCCGTATGGTTTCTGCGAAAACGCGGACGGGATCGCGGAGTCCATTCATAAAAACGTAATTTGCTCTATAGCGCGGAATGCCACGGAATTCGTAAATTTTGGACGAATAAATCAAAAGTAGCCACTGCCACTTAATTCGAATCGCGATATGAACTAGTGTCTGTGAATATTAAAATGCAAAAAGACGGTTTAAATATGAATCCTGCATGTTCCGCTTGCCTCTGTATGTATGAATGGCGGAAACGCGGTTTTGTTTACTACACAAATACTGAAGCACGCGTGACGCTCGCGGTGATTCCCGGCCTCTGCGTCTCACTATATGACGGCATGAACACAAAAACGTAATCTCAAGAGCTGCTGTGAGAGTCACTTCCCGAGAATTTTACCGTTTCATTTGAGAAAACTAGCATCGTCATACTGTATACATACAGTAGCTTCATGGCAACCTGTCAAAATAAAAGTACGGTTTAACAGAAATATATTACATATTATTATTGTATTACTTTTGTAAAGTATAATGTAAATCTTTAAATATTCCATTTTCTATCAAA